AAGTGATACTGTTCACTTCAACCCAGCAGTAGTCTCCTGTAGACACAACATAAGGAAAGATCTGTATTGCCAATATCTTTTTATCGTCCATCCGGGTATAGGTCACAGCCCTCGGCCTAACATTTTCGCCGCCGTTAGGCAAATGATAGGTATATCCTGGGAGATCCTTTGTTGTGTTTTTTTGCTTATTCCACAGAGGTTCTTGAACAAGAACCACGTCGATACCCAGCTCAAATGCTCGGGCAAGCGCAATATTTTGCGTTGAGCCCCCTCTACCTACGTTTATTGATATAAAGCTTAGAGTAGGAGAGAGGCTCGAAGAGACCCGTGGGGTGCCCTTCACAAAGATTTTTGCTGATTTGATGCCTCATCGACCTCGGCTACAGTCGCTGTAGCGTCGGACATGAGAACTTCAAAACAGTTGGTCGATTTGAAACCTAGCTGTTTAGTATTTGACGCTTCTGCGGCTGCTGTCATCGCTGCCTCTGCGCGTTTGACAACTGCTTTGGCCCAAGTGACTGCTGCGGATTCGCGTTGGCTAGCCTGCCTTATGGTCTGAAGGTTTTCCCTGGAGGCCATTCCAGACTTTGTTGGACGAGCTAGACATTCCCGACTATCTGACCTGTGTGGACCTCCGCAGTTGCGGCACTTGATGTGTGCCTTGCACTCCGCGATGTAATGCATAGTTGAAGTACAATTGCAGCAGACTGGGGCACGCGAGCAGCCCCTGGTGCCATGGAATTGTAGGCATCTTTTGCACTGGTTGATGCTTTGACGAGGCTGGTGGCGGACTGCAATCCCAGAGTCGTCGAAAAGTCGGAAACCTGGCCGAAGAATCGATGCTTTTTCAAAAAGGGCTACCCATGACTGGTATGGGGCTCCAAGTCGGCTTTTCCCATGTGGGCGAACTTTTACCGGAACAGCCTTGGTGACCCTGACTATCTCGTCTGTTACCATCTCTTCTGTGACGATAACTCTGCCCATTATTGTATTAATGGCAACTGGGACTATTGCGATTCTAAGTGAGCCCAGGTCCGATGCTTTTTCCAGTATGGTATCTTGCTGGACGAGGGACCCAGCTAGGCTTAACATGATGGCGTGTGCCTCTTGGGTTTCGGCTCTAATTGCGAAGCAAGTTGGAACACGGTATACGTGCTCAATATTGGCTTGAGGAATTTCAAGCACTTTTGCCACAGCCTCTCTAACACCAAACGGTGATAGCTTTCTCCAAGGGTGTTCATTTCCAAGGCGAAGAAATAAGCGTTCATCTTTGGTGCCTGATTGCGTTGGGACGGTCGGGTTTTTTGAAGGTCGCGTCGTGTTTGCCGCCTTTGGCATAGCCTGCGCGATTTTTGTAGCTGCTGGGGGAGTCTTTATACCGGTGCGGGTGATTGAGGCCCAAGTGGTTTTGGCCTGGGAGACTTTGTCATGAGTCACCTTACTTTGTGGTTCATCTTGCTTTTTGGCGGCACGTTCTATAATCTTGCTGCCGGTAGCCTGGGTTTCAGGGCGCGAGGGAAGTACTGGGAGGACTGTACCCGGTCCCGATATCATGAATTGAGCTATTGCAGCTCTAATGTAGACTTTCATAGAGTCTATAAATTGAACACTCGACCCTTTGGATAGGGGGGAGAGAGCATTCTTGACACCGTTTATTGCAGCGGTGCAAATTTTTACATTTTCCGCAGTTTTTGCGGCCCGGCGTTCCTCAGCCTCAATTAAGGCTCTAAGTTCGGGGGGGCATTCCTCCGTCTGCCTGCCTTCATTTCCACCGCGGGGAGAAGGATTCTCTTCTGTGGTTCCTGGTGTATGTTCCAGGGGGTTCGGGGTAGATGCTGCACCTTTTGCCTTCTTAGCATCTGCAATCGCAGCCCGCCTCATAGCCGGCACAGCGACTTCAATGAGAGGAAGTATGTGCTGTTCGGTAGTCGCTGTCCCTAAATTGTTGCGACTCGTCGCTGCATTTTTAGCTCCGGTCACATCTGGCTTGGAGTGAATTGAGTTGGGTAGCCTTTTCAGATTCTTAAGAATCTTGTCAATGTCAAAGTTGCCAACATCTATCATAACGCAATCTATGGTACTTTCGTCGATTAATTGGTCGATATTCATCTCTTGAACGGCAGTAAGTGGACCCAACTTGACGCTTGCTTTCTGTCGAGCAACGTGTTTGAGGTGCTTGCGGTTATCTACGATGTCTTTCGCCCGCGATGGCTTACTGCGAACTGGGGGCATATTGGTAGCCTGCCAGTCGTTCACAAATTTTGACTTAAGGGCGTACGATATCACGATATCGAGAGAGGGAGGGAGAGGGTGAAAGGGTGAATATTCGAAAATTCGAATTTCAAAAAATTGTGGTTGTGTGTGTGTTTATTGTGCTACTTGAGTCTATGACTATCTAGCACATTGGACTCCTCTTTTACCCAGGCCACACCTTGTACAGTGCTCCTATCCTCTTTTGTTACTTCAAAGATCATTGATATATTGCCCGTGATGAATAGCCATTCAGCTCAGTATTTACCCGTGGAATTCAGCCACCTTTTCCACGGAACCTTCTACCTAAAAAAAATAAAAATGGTGGCAATGGAAACTGCGTGCGCGAGAAAAAGTCTCAAAAAACCTGCAGCCCCAGCCAGGCGAGGCCTAGACACCGGGACCACATGAGGTGCGCATATTCATCTATATCTCCCTTCTTTGTAACAGTCGAGGCCGACCTGATCCAACCCACCATCTCCGTATCGGGTGCTGGGTTCGCTCCGGAAACTCATCGGATGACTTTTCCTTCGTGATCAAGGTTTGGTGATGAGTAGGGCTCCGACCCTACCATCTGATCTGATCGTGGTTAGCTTCATGATAATGGTGATAGGGGAATGTGTTGAGAGATGAAGACGATACAGACGGCGAAAGCGATTGGGAATCCTCTTCGAAGTGAGGAATTTTTTACTCAATCTCGGCTCTGCAGACTCTACAGTGAGAGCTGGAGGCTCGTAGGGAACACCGCTGACAGGTGTTGAGAATAGTCCCCCTTCAAGCACCTACACTGCCTTGTTCATTGCATGTTTGGAGACCTGAGGGCGTAACTGAGTTCGATATCATATACAACTATCAATTAATTCTTGCCAGAAATTTTACACTTGTTATTCGAGATATTTCCTCCTAGAAATCATTGACAATTTCTAACAGGTTCCCCCACATCGTCCACATCGTTGGCTCCGGATGCAGGAACGCGTGTTGTGGAATCCCCAGCAACGTTGGCATTACCGGCCCGCTCTCGTCAAATAGATGAAACCTTACATTTATTGGCTTTTTTTGGAAATGAACAATCCAGCTCGTTGAGTATTGGCCAAGTTTTGTTTCTGTGGGGCTTACCTGGATTGTTGTGGCACCACATACTGCTTGGCACTCGTTCTTCACCATATCTTTGGTGAATGGGATGCTACCTTCGAGCGTCCTGATGTATAATAGCACATGAGGTACTATCAATGATGTCCATTTGGATGCTTCCTCAGTCACAGTGTTGTCCTCCTGTAGGGAATGTGCAATCCTCATGATTGTATCTTGTTGGAAAATATACTCTGTACAATATTATATGGATAAATATGATGAAGTAAAGAAGACTTGATATTTTACAACTACGGGAACATTGGACTTATATATATATCTAAGGGAGAAATTCCCACTAGTCTCATGTGCCTGTCAAACCTAGTGATGATAAGCCACCTCTCATTTACCATGATGAGCCAAGGTACACTGTAATATGTAAATATCCAAACGTATAGGCGACAGTAGGCGCGATTAGCATACTCGGGAAATGTGTAGAGAGAGTCGATCTTGTCGGGAACCTGAGACGAAACAGGTAGTGGTTGAGTCTTAAACTCGAGAGTCACAATTTCCAACATATCTCTCTGTCACAGTTCGAGGTATAGATTCTGGGGCGATCAAATATACGAAGGTTGTTTATTATTTTCTATACCACAACATGTGTGTCCTAACTCAACTATTTATACACTTATTAGGCTATCTAGAATATTCCTTCCTGTCTGATACTAGCCTCTGTTATGTTTCCCTGATACCAGTTCACAGTCTCGATGCCAGTTGCTAGAATCCTCTAGTCATGTTCAGAATAAACTAGAGTGAAGTTTCGCCTTTCACAGACAGTTTAGAGTGCAGTTGACACTATAAAAACAAGCCGACGATGGAAGGTGTTATGATCCGCCTCCTAGTGATGTTCCCCGGTATAGTCTGAGTAGCCTGGGCACCTACTCCACTTGGGAAGGAGACATCTCAGATTACATTTTGCGCGGAGAAAAGTTGATGGATGACGGAGGCATGTCTGGATAACTCAGAGTTTTTGAGATGTTCCCCGGGGTGGGTATTCACGGATGAGTGTTGACTTGGGGTGAAGAAAAAGCTACCATAACTTCGCAGTGGTACTTGCAAATGAAATATGAGGCATGAGTGCTTCTCTTGCAAATTGAGTCATCTTTTCTGTACTTTTTCTCCGATATTGTGTCATAGCAAGATATCTGCATACGCCACTAATATCTGATGCAAAAAAAAACAGATACAGGATTCACAGCTATACTGTGAATCCTGACTAGCGCATCTCTGCTGAAGTCATCATGTGGGGATCACATGATAACATATCAACTTTTACGTTTTAGATAAACCGACAGATAGAGAATTAAATTATTGAAACACTTGAAACCAAGCTATTCCTGTGTCTTCATGAGGTAATGATTCGTTTCACTGACAAAGACGCATCAGTCAAAGTCTATCTCGCATGACATCAGCAATCTTACCTATATACTACGCAAGCTCAGTCAATTGTAAATTACATCTTCGTGTTCATGATTAAATTCTAGTCAACGTGTAAGGCATTAATGCCGATTCCATAAGCAAATAATTACTAATCTTACCGTCCAATCTCGAGCCATATGATACCACTTCATACCTGGCAATCTATCAACCCCCTTTCGCCAGAAAATACCTATTATCACGCTTTATTTTCGACGTGCTTGGAAATATTTGTTCTCGATTCTTCCAACTAAAATTTGAAAATTTTGTCAGCGATATTCGAGTCAAAAGAATAGATTTTTCATTTAGTAAATATCATATCTTACTTTTGATATCCTCGATAGTTTTGTCAAATGCCTTGATGATTTTTCTATAAAGAGGTCCACAATCTTGTGGTGTCTCAATATATTCTCCGTCATCATTAAACAATATTATCCGAAGCATCTTCGCTAAATCCTTTAACCCTTTGAAACTGGTCGTGAATTTCTTGAGGATTTCTTTGTCAAAATGTACGACACCATAGCTTTTGTTTATGAAGTTGTTTTCCACCTCATTCGTGCACCAACGATCTAAATTTTTGGCCTTGTCTGCAGGTACGTCTTCATATTCTATGCATCCAACGATGAACACATAGAAAAATGACTCCAGGTCATGACGACAAGTTCGTCTGATAGACTTTCCTGTGTCACGAGCGTGCTCCAACCTCTCAAGCGCCATGAATTTTATGGTGCCCGTCAAGGACTGTCTCTCTTCCAAGGCCAAATTTCCTTTCATCCTAACTGAGTGATCGAGATCAATCAACATACCATGTAAGTCATTGGCTGGAGATGGCTTCAACAAAATTATATTCCCTTCAGAGATATCTCCATGGAGGATCTCTTTACCCACCAGTCCCTCATGACCCATGATGGCATCTCGAATGCCCGCAACAAAATCAAGAATCGTCCCACTGGAATAGAGTGGTCGGCCACGTGGTGTCATGGCTATTCTAACAAGTCGGCGGTTTCTCTCATAGGAGAGAGTTGGTTTCTCACTTGTGTTATGGCCCTCGGAGATATACTTGTCGTCAGCTCTTAAATCCCAAGGCAGAGAAATGGAAATATCTAGGCTATCCATGTGAGATTTGGTGTCATATATCACTTCGGAAGCTATAATGTTTACGACACCTCGCACAGTCTTAGCAATGTTCAGGAATTCAATCTCGGTGTTTTCTTTCGAACTCGCCCACGAGTACTTGATCATCGTCATCTCATCCTTCGTTTCAAAGCAGGTTGTACCTCGAGTTATTAGCCTCGTTGGTTGCACTGTAGGTTCAGGTTTGATCTCGAAAAATGGACCTTGAACATCTCCAATTTTGGGAAACTGGACAAATCTATCTTCTCCATTCTGTAGGATAGACATGTCGCAGCCGAGTTCTTCACTGCTCATCAGAAGATACGAGCTTATTGCTCGAACGAACATCTCCTTGTCATCAACAATCTTTTTTGGTCCTGTGCTGTAGGCACCCGATCGATCAAAAAGCCAGAGCTCAAATTCGCCTCCGAACATGCAGAAACCATGCAGAAACCGACGCAACGGCTGAGCGCAGAAGACCTCTCGAACAGACCTTGACAATTGAATAAACTTTTTTTTCCTAAGGTCGTCGCTAGGTGATTGGGTAAACTCTCCGAGCACATTTATATTCTCCCAATCAGCAGAACCGTCATTAGGCAAGTCGATACTTTTGACCAGAAAATCAAGTTGGGTTTTGCCCTTAGATTTCAGCGCGCATCCCGTTCGTTCCGTACGACAATACTGTCCACGCAACTGGGAGAAAGGCTTTTCAATGAATAGTGGATATTTTGTCGACCGTTTTGGTGACGGGCCTTTGAGCTGATCTAAAAATGTTTGCCTAAAAAAATGGAGCCAGTCCCATACCTCACTTTCTGGCATGTTTATTTCCAGTATCTTCTCACTTTTTGCTTTATGCAGGTTTTCCTGTTGACGAATCTCTTCCGGCAATTTCAATTTCTGAAGTTTTAATAATCTCTCCTTCTTCTCGGCATTCTCATACTTCTGATAGCTTTCCCATATGCGAGAAGTCTGTTTGGACCAACTCTTATCCTCGAAAAATACTTCCCAAAAGGATGCGATTTTGTAGAATACGTTGTCATCTAGTTCAACTCTCATGACATTTTCCAGTTTCAAGGCCGTCAAGTCAAAACCTTCTACTTCTGAGTGATCTTTTCTAAATGATGTTTTACTTTTCGATGGGGCCAATGATGTTGGACTAATAACTATCTTTTCAAGTGAAGCGATGGATAATTCTAAGATATGTCGCTCATCCTTTTGATGGAGAATGGCGGAACTAAGATCTGCGAAATGTACAATGTTGATTTTTCCTTCAATGATTTTGATTGAGGTCTTACTGAAAGACATGTTAAGTTGATACATGTTGTTATTACTTCTTTGTTGATACACATAATATCCCAGATCAGAGTAAAAGTCAGAAACAGCTATAATATAAGTTTAATTCTTCATAGGTAGCGATGGAATTATTACCGCGTTTATAGGATTTTTTTGTGAAGGTATGTCGGAAAGACTGGAGGATAGCCTCGATGGAGTTCCCCGAATGATAAGCGAGAAGATCACTGAGCTGAGACATGTTGTTAATGAAGGTTGTGAGTTGTTAAAAGTGTCAGAAATTGATGACGGGAGGCAGAATGAGTTCGAAACCTGAGTTCCAATCATTTCTATATACCAATGAAAGTCACATGATATTCATGTTAATTGCTACCTTCCATTTGTAAGGCTTAACATTGCTCTAAGAATTTACACACTCACCATTTCCACCTAGAAGACTTTTTATCTATTCCAATTTGTAGATTGAACTGTCAAGACCCTTCCGCTCTGGCTCCGATCAGAAATAACCACAAAAACATCAAACCCCCCCTACCACCTTTCACAAGTCGCGTCCAAAATTGACAACTGTAGCCAAACCGACATCAGAATCAAGCCGCGTCTCGCGCTCAGCGCGCGTGAGAGCAGCCCTCCCGATCATGGAGGGTCATAACCAATCTCAGGCGGTAGAAGCCACTCCATTCTATAATCCAGCCCTTCGCGATTGGACACACCCGGAAGCAGCCAGCAGCATGACATGGAGATCGATCCAATGAATTACGACGATCAAATCGAATACGACGACCCCGACGACGATCCATTTTCAGAGCCAGCCCCCGCGGGCCTGATGCAAGATACTCTGATAAAGAGCGTAAACTCTATGACAACCCGAGCAAAAGAAGCAGAGACCCTCTTTGGAGGTATTTCGGCACTAATCGACAAGCATAGCAGCGCACCCAACTACGCTACACTACCCGCCAAGCAAGCTGAAGCATTCAGAAGCCTCTGTAATGATCTAGCTAAAGCCGCAGCACGGCATTTCGATGCTCACCTCTGCAATAAGCCTGTGACCGTCACCGACGACCCCTCCCCGCCCAGCCGCAATGCCCAAAAAACCGCGCAGACCTACGCAAATGCAGCCTCACGGGCACCCAACAAGCAATTTGCCGGTCGCCATATTCCAACCCTCCCGACACCCGCTAAAGCGCGGTTTCAGCCTAAGCCCACCCGCACCGATGACCGATTATTCGTTCGTATTCCGGAAGGTAGCACACTCCGAGATCACTCAGCATTCGCAATACAATCCCACCTGAAAGCTAAGCTTGGCAACGAGGGTCGGATTCTAACAAATGTGCAGTCAACGAAGACTGGTCTCGCTCTCTGCCCCAAAGACGGAGACTCAGAAAATCTCATGGAAAAAATAAAGTCCGTAAGTTTCTCCGGGGACGCACCAGTAGAGAAAGCAACACCATGGACTTCCTACCGCATAAAAAATGTTTCCCGGACATATGGAGCCCTGGAACACATCAACATAGAATGGAAGTACTGCCTCAAGCCCGTCACAGCTGAGGTGTTGAAGGATGCCCTAGCCACTGCAGCTGGGGTGGCCCCTGTAGCTATTGCGGCTTCACGCGATAATGATGCTAATCCAACGTCCTCGTCGACGACATAGATCGTGCGCTTCCCAGAATCTCATCAGCGCCTGCCACGCACCTTCTTCCTCTTTGGCTGCCGCACGCAGACAAGAATTCTACCCAAGCGTCAGATGGCTGTCCAGTGCACCCGGTGCTGGCTTTGGCACAATACACGCACATGTGCCTCCGACCTCAGATTCCGCCTGTGCAGATCCTCCAGACACTCCGAAAAAGATCATGCCAATCAATGCGGCGCCACGGGCCAACATGTATGCCCCAACAGATGCATCCACTGTCATGGCCCCCATCCCGCGGACGATGTTAGCTGCGACCTCCGGCCTAAGCCCTCCGGTCCTCCGAAGACCAAGAATCAAGTAAGTGCTATCCGTCAAATCAACGCAGACGCTCGCCTACGGAAACAAGCAGAAGCTGGCTGTATCAAGTCTACGGCTAGCCCCAAAACCACGCATACTTCGGCTGCTACCCCTGCTGAAATAGGCCAATCCCAGCCGGTTTCAGTAAAATTCATCAACCCATATGAAGTACTACTCACAGAGGATCAGACCAACGGCCAAGCGCAATCATAATGACTCCTTTTCGGCGCCGCAAACAAAACAATTGCCCATTAAAAATAATCTCTGCAAATGTCGGCTGCGGAGCCCAATCACACGAGCTAGCTCTCAACGAAGCCAGCCTAGCCTCTGCTGATATTGTACTAATATAAGAACCGTACATTTACAGCGACCGCGCCAGGCGTATCACCAAACGCCACCCATCCTTCGAGACCTTCTCACTTATCGACAACTGGACATCCTCACGACGCAGGGTGATGTCCTATGTGCGGAAAAATGCCTGTCTCTGTTCAGAACAGGGTCATACAGCATTTTCAAGCTATATGCTTCTCCTTAGAATTGTCTCGTCCTCGGGTAAGTCCATAAGTATTGTCAACGTCTACAACGCTCCTGCAGGACCCATCAGCAATAGTGTTCTCGATTCCCTTTACTCTCTCACCCTCCCTTTCGAAGATAACTTGCTTATCTCTGGAGATTTTAATTTACACCACACCAGATGGCAGCCATCATGGACCCGCAGTCCCTCCTCCGGCGCCGAAAAGTTCACAGAATGGGCAGATAAAAACAATCTCTCTCTTCTATCACCTGCAGATATGGCAACGCATGACCGTGGCAATGTACTCGATTTAGTTCTCGGATCCAGCCCTCTAGTTCAAAAGACAAAGTGCACCCTAGCCCCACATCTAGACACGACGTCAGACCATGCTACAAAACTAACTTAAGTTGATTGGGAAGGCTATACTGAACCCCTCCGCAGGCTCAGACTCGACACGTTGGACAAGGAACTTTTCCTCCGTCTCCTATCCATCAATATCGATGGTCTTAGTCCAATTCCACGAACCCCCACCAGGGAGGCGCTGGACGGGTGCGCTACAGAGCTAACAGAAGCTATCCGTACAGCATATATGGGCGCAGCCCGCCGCTCACTGGGCCATGGTAAAGGGAATGCATGGTGGGATACATCATGCAAACAGGCCCGCCAAAGGTACAAGAAGGTTCGAAGCGGACCCACAACAGAGGAAGATGTTGCCATAGAGCGAAAGGAGTATCGGGGAACGATCGCAAGGGCAAAGAAGGCCTACTTCACTAACAAGATTGCCGCAGCCAGTACGGGCAAGTGTCACGGTTTCAGTACAAAATGCTTGGGCGATCTTGTAAGTACAGTATATTAATTATAATTCTCTAGAGAGAGAATTCCTATAGCTAGAATACAAATATATATACACTCTGAGATACTCCTCTTCTGTAAGGTTCTCCCTATATCTGGAATAACATGGAATCCTCGACAATACCCTAGAAGATTCTTGATACACCTGTGGTCCTCATGAACCTTCAGTATGCTTCCAGAAAGTTCATTGAGAATCTTCTAAGCTCCTTGTATTCCGAGATCCTTCCCGAAGATTCCCTTGCATTCATTGCCTGCGCTAGCCAGCGTAGGCTACAGGAATCCCTAGGCTTAACAGCCGTTACAGCAAGGACATCTTCGCTCTGACAAAATGGCATAAGTCCACGGGTAACTTCCGATCCACCCCAATCAAAGACCCCAGGTCCCCGGAGCGCCCCCCTGCGACATCGTTGCCTGAAAAAAGGGAAATTCTACTCGGTAATTTACTCACGAACCTGGCTGAAGTGGGTGATATCCCTTTGGATACCCCGACAGTTGCAAAACGCTCCATTTCGTTTCCACCACTCTACCAGGACGAAGTTTAGGATGCGATTCTTAGAGCAGGAAATATAGCCCCTGGGGCGGACGAGATCCCGACTGCCATATTACATATAGCTTGGCCCCTCATCGGAGAATATATCTTCTCACTCTTCAAAAGCTGTCTCTCTCTCGGCCATCATCCTGTCTGCTTCCAGCAAGCTGTTTTAATCATGCTTCAGAAGCCAAACAAGGCAGACCTATCTTCCCCTCGCTCATACCACCCGATAGCACTTCTCTCTGCACTTGGGAAGGGGTTGGAGCGGCTGATAGCCAGACGTCTAGCTTGGATCGCGACCCGTAATACGATACTAACTACCCAGCAGTTTGGAGCCCCCCTAGGGAGGTCAGCCGTCGATCCTACCACCTGTCTTACACATGATGTCGAAAGAGCTTGAGCGAGGGTCGCACAGCCAGCATGCTTACACTCGACGTGAAAGGAACTTTTGATGCCGTCCTCCCGGGCCGGCTTTTCCGGCGCATGCGGGAGCAAGGCTGGCCAGAGTTCCTTGTCAACTGGGTAGCCTCTTTTGCTACTAACCGTTCAATACAAATCCGTCTCGATGGCGAGCTTGGCCCTCTTCAGTTAGTCAACTGTGGTCTCCCATAAGGCTTCCCTGCCTCTCCTATCATTTTCATGCTCTATATATCCCCTCTGTTTAAGCTGGGAAACGTCTCTAGGATGTTTGGGTATGATGACGATGTCGCAATCCTTGAGACCCAAAAATCACTTCACGACAATTGCATCTCTTTAAATAAGGCACTGAAAGAAGGTTTAGAATGGGGGACAAAGGAGGGCATCACTTTCGATCCAGCTAAGGCAGAGCTTCAGCATTTTTCACGAAAACGAGCTGATAAGAATCCGGGTAACACCCCTTTGGTCAAGCACGGCAATTTCTCCGTATCTGAGAAGACAAATCGCCCATACACCAGATGGTTGGGAGTCTATTTTGATAAATCATTTTCTTTTAAATGGCACGTCCGCATCCTTGCAAATAAAGCTCTAGTAGTGGCATACGCGCTCCGCAGTCTTGGTAGCACATTAAGTGGTGCCCCCCCTAAACTCCTACGCCAAGCAGTCATTGCTTGCATACTACCTATAGCTTATTACGGAGCTGAAACATGGTGGTCAGGCCTGACACGTGCTATCTCCCCAACTCGAACCGTCTCAAACTTGGTGAAGGGACATCTTTCCATCCTCCAAAAGGTTGTTAGAACTAGCGCAAGAGCAATTCTTCCCGTCTACCGAACAACACCTGTTTGGATTAGATTGTAGTTGGCAATTCCTAACCTAATTGTGTTAGATTGTAGGCTTCTGTCTTAGGTATTCATGGTTTCGTAATTAAGGTTATTGTTA